TTTTTTTTAACTTAAAAATCATCAAAGTCACCTGAAGGAACCGTTAGTTTCAATATTGATTAATGTCGGTTGATTTCTCTGTTAATCAGTTAATATTTTAGACAAAATTAAATAAGAAAATTGTGAAAAATCTACAAAAACAGACCTAAAATATTTAATTTGTGTTTAGAATCTTTACTTTAGAAAATGTCTTCAACAGCTTAAAAATAACTCTCTCTGTTATATTATTTCTATTTTCTGTTTCATGATTATAGCCAGTCTGGTTTCTTCTAAAAAATGTTTTTCAGAATGCAGACGGACTGTCATTTTATTTTTTATTTTTACGTTTCTTCTAAATTTTCATTTAGAATTGAGATGCTCTGTGTCATTGTTTAAACTTGTCGTGAGAATTCAACCAGACGTCATCCCTAACATGTTCATTCCATGAAGGTGTTTCATTTTCTCACTGTATTTCATTTTGTTCAGTCCATGTAATTAACCCACTCTTCTAAATTTTCATTCAAAATGGAGATGTACTTTTTTATTTTTTTTTATTTTTAGTGAGAAATCAAGCAAATGCCATCCCAAACATGTCAGTCCTGTAAAGGTGTTTTACTTTCTTACTGTATTATTCTATGTGAGTAACATAATCAACCCATTCTTTCAGCATAAAATAAATACTCGTACGCTGAATTCACCTGCTTCTGAACCCCAAAGATTAAATTTTGCCTCTACTGTTACCTGTGACCGTCCAACACTGTATGCAGCATGAGTCTGTGTGTGCATGCATCTGTGGCGGGTGACCCAGGGGTCAGAGTATTCCATCGATGACAGCCTTATCCTCTTAAATGCACCGTGCAGCGTCCCGGCTGCCATGTGCCAGTGCAGAGGTGTGTGTGATGAGTGGAGATGAGTCACAGACGGGGGTGAGAGGAGGTGTCACACAGATAACCCCTACAGATGGACAGCGGGACGGGTCTAAGGTTTCAAACCTCGCTGTGTGTGCGGGTAAAAATGATATACCCTGAAAAAGAGCATAAGAAAAAAATGCGTGTGCGTTTTGGAAGTATGAGTGGGAGAGTGAAACAAGAGGCCCTGACCTGGAGCACCACTGACATGAGCTATCATCGTGGTCGCCCCTCCTGATTCAGGAGGACCGAACAAGAGAGCGCACACTAACTCTTTCCAGTTTGGGACCGTGGAGCAGCACAACATGACACATCCTGTCCTCAATACGTGGATCACGAGCACTTGTTCTTGTATGTTTTGGGTTTTCCTAAAAGGTTAATTCACGAAACCACAAGGATAGTTTTAGTTGCGCTTTTGAGACCTCCACTGTTCAAACATGTGCCGACGCCTCGACAAATGCGAGCACAGTGTTCTCTAAAAGTGATATTTAAAAAATTGAAGGGCAGCATGTGTTTTCAGAAACAATAGCCGGTTTTCTCAGGGTTATATCAAGAACTAAATCTGAACAGTTTTCTTTGGAACTCTTTTGTGGCATCTCAAAACTTTGGCAGCCAACAGAGTCCTGCATATTTGGATGTGTAGTGAATGGATAGAATAATAAATCTCCAGCCTGGTATCAACAGATTGAAGAAAAATAACATCAATCTTCTGCTTTTTGTTGAGCAGTCACTAAAGTAGAACGTATTGATTTAATCCATCAGTCACGTGACTATTCTTTATTGTTTGCTTTAAATACTTTTTAAAGACTTCTGGCAGGAAGAAGATAAATTATGTAAATGGCAACAACTTGTGTGATTTAATGCAGATGTATAGAAATGATGATAAAACAAAACATTTGGTGTGAACATAAAGGTGACTTTTAGAAAATTTGCTTTTTCTTTTCACACTGGAGGGACAAGTTTAGGCCACTGAGCAAAAAGTCACAGAGCTCCACTTCTGAGGGGAAATATTTAAATAAAATAAAAAGCTTTTATGTAAAAGGCCAAAAAAAAGTTCAATCTCTAAATAACAACATAATGTCAAATACTTGCTGGTTGGGCGCCCCATAGCTCACCTAGTTGAGCAGGCGACCCACGATCAGAGGCTATAGGTCCCCAACGTAGTGGTCGTGGGTTCAACTCCCACTCACGACCCTTTGCTGCAGGTTTCTCTCCATTCTTCTCCCCCTTTCCTGTCTATCTCTACTAATCTAAATAAAGGTAAAGAGCCCAAAAAATATATATTCAAAAAAATTTATATATATATACTTGCAGGTTCAAGCTTGTCAAGGATTCGTTGCATTTTATTCCATTTTACATCTTTTTAGACTTGTTATTGTCACTATTTTATACACTTAATGCAATAAATTCAACAAACAATCAAGACTATTCGAGAGAGAAAATAGTCGTCGTGTCAACTGCCAGCCTGTGTTCGGTCATACGGCCCCTACGACTTGCCTTCTGCTCGTGCTATTGTGAAAATGTCAGAGTTTGAGTGACAACAAAATAAAACGGGGTGGAGTGAACTAAAAGTCAAGCAGCCATTTAGCGTGACTAAATTTTGAATTGCAACAGTAAAGTGGTTGTTAGGATTTTCTTACATGATGTGTGTCGTTCACTAAAGATTTCCCGCCAGTTGGCAACATGGCATTAAAAATGAGTCACAGCTCACAGAGTCATAAATTGTAGAAATATTTCAAGCTACTACACAATCAGCCTGATTTTTTTTTTTTTATTCTTTCTGCAGTTTCATTCTTCTGTCAGAGCTCTCAGGAGGCTGAAACCGTTTTGTTGTTGCTGTTTTACTACACACAAGGTCCTGTGGAGTTAAAAGCACAGCTCAGATAATCCCTTTGCCAAACATACAAATCAAACTTTCATACGTCGAGATGATCTTTTTGTGGTTTTCGGTGCTTTTTAGCTGAGACGACCGTTAGCGGACGAGTCACATGACTTACCTGAAAGTCTGATTTACACACCCACTCACATCTGTAACATCTTGTAACTCTGACAAAGAGAAAAGGAGCATTTGGGTAATGGAGGTACGGAGTGCTCCCACTAAAACAAGGCAATGCAAGAAGCCAGGATCATCTTCCTTTGTTCCTGCAGAGGAGATTTACTGTCTGTAAACACTTGGCTCACTTTACGGTGGAACATCCAAATAAAAAGCTTTTTGAAGACTTCACCCAGTCAATTAGTCGAGCAGTGTCAATAGACCTGCTGCATAATGACTCACCTGTAATTGCGTGAGAACGAGTACTTACAGGAGACTGAGTGGCACGTCACATAGGAATGACAAAGCCTTCAATCTGTTCTTAAGGACTCATTCTGTAATTGACCCCCACCTCCCCCCACTTATTACCTTCCTTCGTGCTCACACACACTCGCGTTTATCAATTTCCTGACAATCACGCGGAAGCTTGACAAACTTTAAAGGGCAACTGAACAGCAGCCTGCACGAGCGTCCGTCTCTGGACTTTTTAATAAACACGCATCCTCTCTTTGTGCAGGGTGGCGGGATAATGAACAGGCAAGACAATTACCATAAGTAGCTGATGTTATCTCACCTTCAGGAGGGGGGATCGGTTGAATTGTTGTAATTGCAACGTCGAGCTGCTGAAGAAACACTCCCCCCAAACACACACATACATGTAGCTCCCAGCCTCCCGCAGCTCCTTCTTCTTTCCCTTCAGCCACTTCAAAATGAAATTCTTCTCTGTCTTCCCCTTCTTTAGGAGTCACCCCTTTTTGATCCTGATATGCAGGCATCAAAGAGAAGTCCAGCAGCAATTAGAGAGAGCCTGAGGGCCTGCACATGCTCCAGGAGGAAAAAAAAAACTAACAGACTTGTCTGACTTGTCATTAAATGAAGGGAAATTAGCGTCATACTTCATTTATTTGATGCAACTAAAGCTAGGATTTATTTAATGTCAAGTTCTGACTGAGCACAAATGGAGAAATTTGCTTTCTGTCTCTTTTTTTTGTTGTTGTTGTTTTTTAACCTGAGACAGACAACAAGTAAATACTCCATTTTTTAATTATTGCATAAAAACAGAGCCTTTAAAAAAGCCATTATGCTGTCATCTTTATGTTAAAGCAGCGTCCAGCGGTTCACGGTGATGTACAGGGAACTGTCTGACAGAACAAAGCCCAGCCAACGTCCCCCCAGCAGTTCAAAGGAGCTGCTCTCTCTAAACATTATCATATAATTTGGGCCAGCCGTCAGCTTGTAAATAAGTGATGTAGAAGCCCATTGTGTGATGGGGCACAGGTTGGAGACAGGCGTCTTTGCTCTGCCGGCATGAGCCGCTGAAGACAAAGGCAGGAGACAGAGCGTCTAACCTTTGATTCTTCTGAGGACTCAGCCGCCTTGTATGAGGGCAGGACGCATCAGCCACAATCATGCCCCCAATGAGGGGACGTCAGGAACAATAGAATCACTCTCACACAGTCGGGCTGAACAACCCACCCCGACTGCAATTGGATTAGAGAGTATCCAGCATCACATGTTAGCCTAATTGACATAAAAGTGAAATTTGAGAACAATAAGGCCGACTCGCTTTGAAATAGCACACCTCTTCTAAGGAGGCGCCTGTTATTAAAAATTGTACTATAGGACTGAGGAAATGTAGAATTACAGGGTAAAGATTTTCACTATTTCACTTTTCCTTTGTTAAAGTGTCGTTCAGAGGCTGTAAGATTGCAGATTTAAAAAAACAAAACAAAACATTGTTTTATTTAGGAAAGAAAAAACACCAGAGACATTCCTCTGCTTGCCTCTTTCATTAGTTTTCTTTTTTTTTTCTTTTTACAAAAGTAAAACCGATATTGTCAGCTTTTGTTTTTGTAACGCCTTATTGTGGAGGGTTGTTACAGATCTTTTATAATAAAGTAAAATAGATTTTGCTTCAAAGGCCTTGTTCAATAATAACATTGATGTTGATTTAAGCTGGTTCATTAAAGTTTTTTAACCAGTTCCTTCAAAAAGTTCCGTCGTGAAAAATTCATGCAGTGCTTTAATTTTTTTGCAGATTCCCCCAATGGTCAAGACTGAATGTGTTATTATCAGCAATCCATGTTTTGTTTTGTTTTTTATTTGTTTTTCTGTATATAATATGAAAGCAATAAATATTACCAGTAAATAAACTTTACTTTTTAGAGTGTTTTTTACTATTTTCTCAATAAAAAAAACTTATACAATCTAATGTACATTATGAAAAGTTGTACAGCTTTTTTATGTTTAAAATAAGGACTCAATTTATTTTTAATACGTAGATATAAATATATATATTTTGTCAAAATATATGATCATATTGTCAAAGAAACAAAAAAAAAGTGAGACAAACATACACCTCATAAAAGTTATAAATAAGGGTCCAAGTGAACATTTTTTGGGAGTAAAGACCTTCTGATTGGTTTTAGCATCCGTGTTGCTTTTTTTTCCCCAAGTCCAAGTCCAGGTTTTAGTAAGTTTGTGTGTTAGCGGCAGCCGCAGCCCTCCACTACCATTTCCTGGTAGTTTTTTAGGACCACCTTGTCGTGTTCGTCTAGGTAGAGCATGGAGATGGCGCTGAGCTCTGTTGGCACGCAGCAGGCCTTGGGAATGTTGTTGTTCACAGAGTTCACCAGTGTCTGAACAATGGCGTGGTTGGTTGAGTTCAGGTGATCTGCCAGAGGAAAGGGGCACTCCCCGTGGCAGTAATAGGCCTGGTAGCCAGGAGGCGCCACTATCCAGTCATTCCAGCCTACATCGCTGAAGTCCACGTACAGTGCGTGGCGCCGGCAGTTGCGGTTGCGTTTACGGCCCCGTTGTTTGGGGCTGCGCTTGGTCCGGCGGGTCAGCGGGTGACCCTTCCCGTCGTGGCCAAAGGTAACCAGGAGAGGGCGTAGCTGCTCCCAGTCCTCGCCGGGCTCTTGGTGTAGCGAGCGGCTGATGCGGACGTGTCGGCCCTGATGGCGCGGAGTCTGGTTGAGGTGCAGAACCTCCACCGCCAGTCCGTAATTAGGGAGGCGCTCGCGAGTCCACCGCAGCACGGCGGGGCTGACGTCGAAGCTCTCCCAGCGCGACGTGTTGTGGTGCACAAGTCGCGTATCCAGAAGTTGCGTGATCAGTTGCCTGGGTTGCGGCGGTTTCAGCACCTCGTACACGTTTATCCGGTGAAGCCCGTGGCCATCTGACAGGGAGTCGGCCAGAGCCTCATCGATCTGATGCCGGTAAAGCCTCAGTTCTGCGGAAGACAGCAGCTCATCCTCTGGGATGCTGCTGAGGTTGAAGAGGAAGCGAAGGGGCGTGGAGTCTCCGCTGTGCAGCTCGTGCACCCTCTCCATGTGCTCTGAAAGTAGGCAAGAGGAAAACGTTTGCTTCAGTGCACAACCTCCACAATCCTCAGTAAATCAACTATTGCAATTTGTAGAACAGAAACTCACAAGTAGCTTCACGTTTGTACGTCTTATAAAAACTTTGCGTGAAGATGTCTTGTTACAGCTGTGTTCTTTGCTCTTCAGCGTTCTACCAGCTAATACATCAGTGAAACAGGTCTGAAGTTCTGAGCTGTGCAAACCTCACACGTCTTCACTCTTAACAAAAGCTTAATTGACACCAAAGAATGTACATGCACACTTCTCGAGGCCGCTGGGGTATCCAGAAGAATAAATATATATCGTCCATGTTTTCTTATCTATCTATAAGGATTATACTGCCCTTCTCTCAATGCCTTTCCCTGAGCACTTTGCTGAAACATGCATTACAAGGAGGGTGGTGATTAACGTACCACAGCTACAGTATAAACACAGTGGAGGCTCCCTGTTCCACGCACAGTCTGCAGATTTCTGGCAAGATCACCATTGTTGGGGAAAGGAATGTTGTGTCTACTATTTTCCTGCTCAATCCACCCCTGTTATTTCACACCCAGGCCCTAATCTTACCCAGGTGGTTCTCATTATTAAAACCTGCTGTGTTTTTGATTAGCTCTGCAGTTTGTTCACTTAAGACATTTATCATTTTCATCATGAATAATCATTAAGGAGTCAGACAATACAGTAGAATCTCGTTTATCTGAAGCCCATGGGTAAGAAGATCTTGCAAGGGAATGTAGCTTATTCAAAGTTTCAAGTGTGCACGCAAGCACCGTCTCCAGTCCTGTGGTCTGACTGCTCTGTGGTTTAATTCATAAACTCATTTGAAATTTATGAAAGAAACAGCGATGCCCCCTATTGCACCCAGTCAATAAAAACTACCACCATCTCTCAAGATGAATGGTTGCAGCCTTGCCTGTAAACATGTCTCCTCACCAAACTGTCCATCTGCTGCTGACTGTAATGCCTCCCTGTGTTTTGGACAGATCAGTCAACTGAGTCACACTATCGCACAATGGCGCTTCCATGAAAGAGAACACTCCCACTCAAAAGGCTTCAAAGCGTATTATTAACATAGTTTAGCAAAGGAGAAGGAGGGTAAATGCTTGTTGAGAGGAGTGCAAACCCATACACGAGCACACATGTGTGCACATTGCATCACAAGGCAGAAGTTCGTCCTCCTCCTCCTCCTTTTTCTTCCCCGCTAGCTTTGGTACGCTGCCGTGTACGTTGGCCTAAGCTACCACTAGCAGTGTGTTTGACAAGCTCCATTACGGCTGACTCATCCCTCCTTCCTCACTCCTCCCCCTAAGGGCGGACATGTTCTGCAGCCCTAAAAAGCTTCCCAGCTTTCTTGGTTCACTGTGCCACATGATCAATTCCTCACTTTACATCATCGCCGTCTGTCTCTCTGCCAATCTACAAGGTTGTTTTCAAGCATTTACCAGACGTGTTTCAGGTTATCTTTCCGAGCTTAGTTTACATCTAGCAGATCGGCCAACCTGGACTTTCTCCCAGTCTAATTGAAACCTCTGCATTTGTTGCTAAAGCGAAGCAGTCACAATAAACAGAAACCCTTCTAGCGTTCCAGTCTTTCTATCGCACCGGCTTCTGAGACGGTTTTTCCATCTCTCCAAAGAGCTGCAGCGTCTGCTCTCAGCACCCACATTGTTGGCAGTAGGGGCTTTATTTAGAAGGCTGTAGAGTAGCATTAAAGATAATTGTATGTTGAGGAAGGTCCTTCTAAAAGAGCCCTCCATATAAACTGGAGACATGAGACAGGAGCACACTCCAATTCCAGGCCAAGAACAGGCTTTTTTAAGCCATGTTCTGCTGGGTGGGGTGAGAAGTGTAATATGAAGGTATGCTTTTCCTTCAGCTGCTAACCAAACACGCAGAGCTTTTGTCAAATTAGGCTCTCGAGAGCTTGTCTAGCAGAATTTTTTTGCCCCTCTGTAGACACTGTTTGGTGACCACATCCTTAGATTCCTTGGTTATGGCGAAACGGGTGGAGCGCTCTTACAATCATGTTTCAGGGGATGTAGGAAATTATTTTTTTTATTTTTTTTTAACCCTCGCCCATGCTAATGCGCTACACTACTACCAAAATTATTGGAATTCCTGGCAACAGTAAGCATGGTGTAATGTTTTAGTGCTGACATTTGCATTTATCACCGCTCTTCCAACTCATGACAACATTTCCGCCTTTCTCTTTTGGGCTTTTTCATTTTCCGTCTACTTCATATGATTTCTTTTACCTTCATGGTGGAAACCCCTCACGGTGTTGGCCCGGCTGGCTGACCTCTCTGGATACTCAAAAGCAATGTCATGCGCTCCGGCCTCCTCAGCCTCCCCCGACTGCAGCCGGTAGAGGTCCAGCAGGTAGCGAGGCACGGTGGCCGAGCGACTGGGCCGCGGCCGCCTTTTGAGGCCAAACATGTGCAGCAGCGTGGCCTCAAAGTCCCGCAACAGTTCATGGCTCTGAGCGGCCGAACGACCCTGCAGGCCAGGTACTTTCTTTTTCCCTTCTTCAGGTATCAGACTAGCATGGTTACTCTCTCCCAGCAGGACTTGGCATATTAAAATGACCATCAGCATTCGATTACCAGGAATCATGATGTCTCTGGTGGGAGCAGCAGATGGAACAGGGAGATAAAAGATTAGGAAAGGACTGAACAGAGCAGGAGGGGGAGAAAACACAAAAAGAAAAAGACGAGAAGGGGAGAGAAAGGCATCCGTTTTAAGTAACATGTCAAATTTAGCTTTTCTACATTTCTGCACATTTTCTCCTGCTATAAAACCCCATCTTCACCCTCTTGTCTAGCTGTTCCCACTAAAGGAACGCTAATTAGCTCCAATAGTGCTGCCTGCTTTGTTTACAGTAAAGCAGTCCCCGATCAGATAGACCACTTGCAGTTTATCTTTGGCAACATCCTCCAAAGGTAAACAGCTGGTTCAAGAACCCAACTTTTTTTTTTTTTTTTTTTGAATGGAATCTGAGGGCCATTCCTCCTCGCTCCCTCCCTCCCTCCCCCCTTGTCTCCTCCACTATGATTAGACAAATAAAAGAGGCAGCCCTGGGGTCGGAGCAAATTCTTAACTCGATAAGGAGCTCGGTCTCTCACAGTCTGCTCCAACCAAGGACTTTGTGCCACACTTTTTTTAAAACAAAAGGCTTTTCCTCATGCATTGACCAACACTGCTTTGGGATGTTCAGTTCAACCCTGGATTAATGCCACATAAATGAATGATTCAGTGGACAGAGAGGAGAAAGGGGCAGGAGACTGCAAGATGTAGCAACGTGTCACATGCCACAAATTGAAATGGCATGGTCTACTTACTCACCGACAGAAAATAAAGCATGGGAAAACAGTCCATGTTTGTTGGGAGCAGGCAATGGACACGTTCTTCCAGGAAATGTTAGGTGGTGCTGGGCGGCTGCAGGAGAACGTTGGAGTGACCCTGTTCCTGAAAGACACAGTTTAAAAACACAGAGAAATTATAAACTGAATGCAGATGCAAACACTTGAGGTGGTATTTACTGAAAGAGCAGCACATGAGCGCATATCTGTGTTAGCTTGTGTGTGCATGTGGGCAGGAGAGAGACCCAGTGTCTCTTTAAGGCTTATCATTTTGGCTCGTGGGTAAGCTAGCTATTTGCTGAAACTGGAATGTAAGGAGGTATGTGCCACAACACAGACAGCAGATCCCTAATGCCGTACACTCACCTCAGACACAAAACACACCTTATTCAATTATTACATCTATTCTGGAAATGTACCAGAAACACACTCAAAGAGCAGCTCATAATAGATAACCGGCAGCTGAGAAATGTCAAAAACACACAGACCAAAGGGCAGATAAAACAACTTTGATCAGGAGTGGTAAAACCTACATCCAAAACAAGAGGGCTGTTTGCTTACAAAAACTGTCTCCAAGTGAACTCACTCAGCTTTTATCCTTCAAAGCTACTGAGATCACCTTTTTCAGACAAGGAACTGAATAGATCCACCTCAAAAAGGCCTCATGTCCTGGTAGCGCTTTCCCACTTGAAGGCTCACACAGGTTGCAGTGACGCTGATGACAGGCCCGTCGTACTTTGACATCACTGTCATCAGCATTCAGCACTGATGTATGCATGGTGCTCTGCCGGGTGTATTCCACTCTCTAATTTGATGAAACCACTGCACCAATGATATTTTATTGGAATGTGCTCCAGAAGACTCCAATAAACAAACTGTTGAGTTTTAGGAGTAGTTTCTCCAAATAAAATAAATATTTAAAAAAAAAACATATATTATCCAATTATCCGAGTCAAGTTTAACAATACGGCTGTAATGAGTCAGTTTTTACGTGTTGTTTTAGGTGATAAACGCTGCTGAATCACACTAATAAAATTACTGGATTTTTCGAGTAACCACAACAGCAGCACCACGTAACATCTCAGCTCCACAGCAACATCTTTGGTCATCATTTGGAGCTTGTTCCACTGGAGTGCAACCAAGCATTACTACACAGTGAGGATGCATATTAGCAGAAAAACAGTGTGTGTGTGTGTGTAACATTAAGTTTGTAGCTTTTTCAGTGTGCGAGCATGGCTGCCTTCATATCAGCGCGATTATCTGGGACCTTGCATGGCTCACTGTACGTGCAATCAAGGATCTCTTTCCTAACTGCATTAGACTTTGACCTCCGATTGACCCTCCTTTCTCGGTCATGACACCAGATCCAGTGTGTGTGTGTGCAAAAAAAGAGGGTGACGTGCGTGAGCTAAAAGGCGTGCATGCATCGGCGTCTGTACGCGTGCATGAGTGTGTGCCACCGCTGGCATGTTCGTGAGAACTGTGGCGGAAAAAAAAAAAA